CAAATGAGGAGGAGCTACTTGCTCCTCCGGAAGATATAGCAGCCTACTGGCCTCTTGGGCGGTGACTTCCTAGGCCGAGCGGCCTCCCAGCAACCGGTACCTCCTCCCTTTCGGAGGGAAACATCATTGCAAGCTCTGCTATCATCCGGACAGGCCCTAGACTCAGGCTACTTGGACCGGTACCGGCCTACCTCTATCCTACCGCTACTGGGCCTCTAAAAATGCCAACTTCTTGTCTTCTTCTGCTCGGCCTCAAGTACCCGACGCTCCTACCACTACTTGAGTGGTACCGGCCTACCTGCTACTTGAGTGTTTTTCCCCACTGCTCTAAGTGTCGCGGGCCTACCCCCGCTACTTCAGTGTTTTCCCTGCTGCAACCCTCAAAGTCACGGCCACAGGTAAGTACCGGCCCTGCAGGGCCTTTCAACCAACAAGTACCCTTGCGGGTCACACACACACTCAGCCGACAAGCACTCAGACAGGCATGCAAACCAGCAGGCACGCACACACACACACACACACACTTGGAAACTGCAGCAGAATGCGGGAATCTCAGCAAGGCATTCATTCCAGCGGCAAATCCCAGAAATCAGCAGTGTTCTCAGTCTGTGTTTTTGGCGGGTCGTTACAGTCGACAATTTTTGCACCCCTGAGAGGACGACATGGAGTTCGAACCCCCAGATGACATCGGGTTTGTGCATAGAAACGAACAGTTTGAAGTGGAGTGGCACAACAGGGTACATACACATTACAAGCGGAGGAGGGGAGGGGACGGGGGATGGGGAGGTGACATCGGGTTTGTGCATAGAAACGAACAGTTTGAACTGGAGCGGCACACCAGGCTACATACACATTACAAGCGGAGGAGGGGAGGGGATGGGGGATGGGGAGGAGAAGGATAACGGCAAAAAGCTCAGCAGACATACAGCGGGAATTCTTTGCTGTCACTCGCATCTTCTATGATGGTCTCTTCCGCATACACATCATACACATATTCTTCGTCTGCAACACAGAGAGATAGACAGACAGACAATGAGTAGACTCATTACGAGGCCCTCGAATCAATTAAAGAAACCCTTTTCAAGGCAAGGAAGGACATTTCCAGGTGGTGTGTGTCTGTTGTCATATTTGCTGTACACATTTTTTTTTTAAACTCTCTATCTCATTTTATCCACAAATTGTCACAAACCATCCATAAAACAAAAGAAGTGCGGAGAAGATGAAAGGTGGACCACATTTGTGTGGTTAAGCACCAAGTGCCCACACACCTGTCTGCCGCCGAAGTGGCACACTTGCACAGATATATATATCACTAGACGACCTGTTGCGGCTTCGCTCGCAAAAACAAATAAGACAGGTGATTCATTAATGGTGGAAGCAACAGACCGATGCACTCTCTCTCTCTCTCTCTCTCTCTCTCTCTCTCTCTCTCTCTCTCTCTCTCTCTCTCTCTCTCTCTCTCTCTACCATAACGCTGATGGTTTTCTCTTGCACATCAAAAACAGAAAACAAGAAAAACAAAACAAACACAAAAATCCCGCCACATGGTGCGCCTTTACCCCAACCTGCCCACCGACTCTACATATTTATCTATAAGATCTCTTTTGGAGTTCTATTACCTACCAAACCAGCTAATCTTAACCGTGCAAGATTTTCCTCGCACGAACGCCGCAGTCCAAACATGCGGCAAATAGTGCGTCTAATCCATTGTCAATAATTGTTATGCAAAAATCTGCGTAATTAAGCGGTGCTGCAAATCTCCCCCATAATACATCACCTAATACATCAAATAATATTACTGCAAGGAATATGAGCGACAGCGGTAGACAGAAGTCCAAATTGCAAAATCATGAAGTAGTCCAGATAGTCATGTACCAAGCAGAGAGCGCAATGCACCAAGATACCATCCAAATAAGAGCAATACAGTGAACTCAAATGTCAATGCTGACGCTCTCTGGCCACACCAACATAGTATCCAATGTTGCTCCTACTGATTGGCACCCAGCGCCCAGCCTCCACTACTCAGCCTATCTAGCCTATCTACGTTCATGCAACAACATCACATCTACGTTGAAGACTAATGTACGTGACGTCATCACCAATGATGACTGCCAGGTACATGTCTCTCTCTCCTCCCCTCATCACACCCTGTCTCCCCTCTGCATGCGCCTCCTACCCGAAGACCACCATCGCCGTCACCTGCACCACACGCACAGCCCGGCTATGGCCAACCGTGCGCCCGCTGCCACCGCAGCGCCCTCTCACCTCTAAGCGCCCGTGTGCACCCCAGCCTGCCAGCACCAAACAGCGCTCGCACGACACAGCAGCAGCGTGGCCGCAATGCCTCGGCAGACCAGAATGCCTGGAGCTGGGGAAGGCACCTTCCTTTATGGAAAGTGCATCCTGCTTCAGCCTCTGCTTGGCCTGCTGGGCTGGGGCCCAGTAGCTTCGCGTGCCTGCGCCCTGGGCCCTTCAGACAGTTACAAGCCCCCGCAGCATCCTGTGCCCCAGTCGTCCAGGCTCCAAGTGTCTCCTGTGATCTCATTGGGTCGCGGCATGTATGTGACGACGGTGCTGTTTTCTCATTGGTTTGCGGCTGCTACGTGACTTGTCGGCCTCTGGATGCCTGTTCCCAGGGCCTCAACCGAATGAGCCCTGGGCTCAACTGTACGACGCAGCTGCTGCTTCTGGAAGGAGCCAAGAAGGCTCACATTGCTCTGTAACCAACTGGCGTGCTGCAACTGTCGGGTAACCGACAATGAAAAATGTTGAAAATAGGCCTCACGTGGATATCATGGTAACCCCGGACCCAGACACCGGACACTTCCGGACTGTCCGGTAATCCGGACATCACCGGGCACACCGGACATCACCGGACCCGGACAGTCCGGACCGGCCCCCGGGGTGCAAAAATGTCCGGACCAAAAAAAAAAAAAAAAAGGGGKTGGGGGGAAGTTGGGTGGGGGTGTTGGCAGGCACTTACCTGCTTTGCACTCTGTAGTTCAGGCAGCAGAGCACGTGTCTTGCAGCAAATCAACCAGCAATTTAACTAGCAGACATGCAGAGTTGCAAACAGTGCAAAGCAGGCACAAGACTAAAGAAACAGAGAATTTGTTTTTGAAAACGGTATGATCAACTTTGAACTTTGAAAATCGGATTTAGTAATTTAAGTTCATAACTTCATATATAACTTAAAAGTCCGAACTGCAGTTCAATTCAGAACGTCAGAGTCTTCAGACTGGCAGCACTGTCAGTGCTCTCTGTTTCTCTGTTTCTCTCTCTCTCTCTCTCTCTCCCCCCAACCGGCAGCAGCGGCGGGTGCCACGTCGAAACGGCCGCTTTGAAATTGCTCGGGCCTGTGCGAAACCCGCCACCCCAAAAACGTGCACTGTCTTGTGTCCGGACCTCTAGGCCCTGTGCGCCGGGGTGAAACCACACTGAAAAATCACCCCGTTATTTTTCGAGGGGCGGCCAGGACCCGATAAACGTCCTGGGCCGCCCCCTTTTTTTTTTTTTTTTTTTGCCGCAGGGGCCTCCATCCGGAGACCAGACACCGGACTGTCTGGAACCCGGTCCGGATGTCCGGATGGTTACCATGGTGGATATGCAGGCCTGCCTTCACTTGCGGTGGGCGAGAGGACTGCTGGGGGTCTAAGCCCAGAATGTTTGTATGCGCGATAAGGGCCCTTGCGGGGGCTCAATCCTCGCATTCCATCCCCCTTAGCTTCGAAAGTCCGCTGAGATGCTTCTATGCAGGTGCTTTTCCCTTCAACTTTCGTTCATACTCTGCGCCATGATCTGAGATGCAGTTCTGACGAGCTCCTCTCTTGTGAACCAACGATCTTCTTTTGGATCTGTATCATCCCTGAATCTGACCCCCTACTCCCGTCATAGGTTAGGGCGGTCTTCCCCTGTCCACAGGGTTGGGAACAGGCAAGTTTCGATGTTCCAAGATGTCGCCGACGTCCACATGGCCATCCATGGAAGCATGAAATACAGGTAAGTGCGCAGATGACCAGGGATTCGTATCACGTACGAGGAACCATCCAAATCACTGCCCACAATATCTAGAACTTCCCAATGACCGAAATACTGTGGCATTAGCTTTTTAGAGATGCCGAATTCCTGTCCTAGTTCACTAGCCTTTACCCAAACACGTCCCCCTACCTGAAATGTGGACTATCGCCTGTGTTTGTTCTCAGAGGCGATCATTGCATCCCGAGATTTTCTAATATGCTCGACAGCCTGCTGCAACAGCTTCTCATATTGGACACCAAATTCTATGGTTCCAGGAGTTGCAGCTGATCGGTTTTCAGGAAGGAGGAAGTCTAAAGATGATCTAGGCTTCCACCCCAAATGCAGCTGATTGGAACTGACGCCGGTGGTGCTGTGTACAGCGTTATTGTACAGACTGGCGATGTCAGGCAATTTCTCATCCTAGTCATCTTGGCTGGGCTTGATATAGTGCCTCAGCAGATACTGCACCATGCGGCTCATCTGTTCCGCTTAGCAAGGCTTCGGGATGATTCCCTGAAGTCATTTGGAGTTGACTGCCCATCTGTTCAGCAGCCTTCTGTCACATTTCACAGATGAACCGGACATCTCTGTCACTAACAATAGTCTTGGGCAGTCCAAAGTCACGCACCCAGTTATCCATGAATAACTTGATGACATGCTCAATCTTGGCAGTTTCTGGCATGGGGATCAGTTAGCGTACTTAGTAAACCTGTCTACTATGACAACGATGTGCCTCTTGCCACTCTTGCTGGTCACGAGGGTGTCCATGAAATCCATGGAAACACTCTGTCCCGGACCTGCAGGAATTGGCAAGGGCCAGGGTAACCCAAGCGGTGCTTGAGTTCGCGGCTTATCCCGACAGACTTAACAATTCTGAACGTACTTCTTTGCATCGTCAAGCATACTATGCCACCAGAATCGCTGCACTAAGTTAGCACTGGTCTTTTTGTAGCCGAAATGTCCAGTTGGGTCATGACACTCACCTTAAAATCTCACTAGATGGTACACGTAGTCTATTGAACCCTGCCTTTTTAAGAAAGAGTAACTCGTCCACCATCACAACCTCATTAGAGGTGGCCTTATCTTTGGCCTCTAGTCCAGGGTTGCACCGGCGCCGACCGCCGACCCCGACCTCCGACCGTTTTGTCCCGACCGATCGGGGCTGACCGGTCGGCGGTCCGCCGACCAGTCAGAAAACAGGCATCCGCTGCTTTTTTTTTTTTTCTGATT